CAGTTCTGTGCGCCTCATTTCAGGAGGGATGTGGACAACATTGAAAGGGTCCAGAGGAGGGCCACCCGCATGATCCGGGGACTACAGGGCAGACCCTACATTGAAAGGCTGCGGGACCTAAACCTGTTCAGCCTTCACAAGAGAAGGCTGAGGGGGGACCTGGTGACTGTCCATAAACTCACTAGGAGGGACCAGAAGGGTTTAGGAGAGACGCTGTTTCCCCTAGCGCCCTCTGGCATGATAAGGAACAATGGACACAAATTATTAGAGAGTAGGTTTAGATCAGACATCCGCAAGAACTACTTCACAGTTAGGGCGGCTAGGAGCTGGAACCAACTTCCTAGGGAAGTGGTGCTGGCTCCTACCCTGGGGATCTTTAAGAAGAGGCTTGATGACTGCCAAATGAGTCCAGTCTTTTCTCCCGCCCAGGCCAGGGGTTGGACCTGAAGATCTACAAGGTCCCTTCCGACCCTACTTCTATGATTCTATGATATGTTTCTATGAATGTCAACACTAGATGGCAACCTTTAAACAGGCAAAGGTTTTTTAAGTTTTAAATAACTAATGCTGTTAGGACAGGGCACTGCAAAAGACCAAATTAAAATGAACCATCTTTCTTTCAAGAGTATTCTGCCATTAATTTTTACTCAGTTTCATTTAGGAATTTTGGCTGTGATCTCAACAGCTTAGTCTGTTCTATTTGCCAGGAATCAAGCAAACTAGGGTTTATTGTAAGGTGGTTTTTGTGGTGTTCATTCTTTGTGATCCCCTGCTTGCTTGATATGAAAGGGTTCAAAGCCGTATGCTAAGAGGTCCTCCTTCATGCACAGTGTGCATTTTGTTGCTGTTTAAGCTACTGACGTAGAGACATAAGGAACTAATAATAATCCATATAACGTTTCCAGTTACCAAAATGTAAAGCAGACCTTAGTTAGGATTCAGTTTTTCTTATGAGACTTAATGAAATTACTTGAATTACTTCATAGCATGTAAGGAATTGTGGTTGGGCTCTGTTGTAGAAGTCCAATTCTACTCGTGTTAGCTAGAAAACACTTGTAGCCCTGAACTTGGGTCTTGTTCTGTCCTTACTGGTGAGCATTCCCGAGAGATGGGTCTAAAAGGATTCTAGCCCTGAATTGCTGGTTGGCATGTTGCTAAGTGTTGGTAACACAAGCTGATCACCCCCAGAAGTTCCCCACTGGACAAATGGCAGAAAGGCTTTGATTGATAAACTGTGCATACAGGAAAACCAAAAGAAAAGATCATGAAAGTAATCTAAACAAGACAGACCAAGGCATGAGAAGTTGTCTGCATCAGTAGAAGATAAATGAAGACAAACTCTGACACCATTCCTAATATGGTAGGAGGCTGATTATACCAGAAGAGAGAACATCCCAGGCTTAACTTTATAGTACAAAGATAATGGCTAATAATTGTACATATTGTTACCAACTCATAAAATTAGGCCCAAAAAGAATTGTTCATGTGGTTTGATGTCTTGCATAACAAAGGCCCTAACATTTAACCCAGTAATTCCTGTATCAAACCCATAACTTCTGGTTGAGCTAGAGCATGTCATTTAGAAAGACATCTACAGTCTTGATTTACAGACTTGTGCTAGAAAATATGCCACGTGCTATAAAGGTTTCCAGTGATTAATTTTCCTTACTGTTAAAAAAAATCTGCCTTTTTTCTAAACACATTTTGTTTAGTCTCAGTCGCTGGATTTTATACCTTTGCTAGATGACAGACTTTTTACTATCAATAATTTTTTGTCTGTGTAGGTTCCTAGAGACTATTACCATACTATTTTTTAACTCCCACAACATTCTTGCAGGTGAGCTAAGGCAGTACAGGTTGCATGAATAGACTGTAAGGTGAATAGAAAACTGGCTGGATCATTGGGCTCAGAGGGTAATCAATGGCTTGATGTCTAGTTGGCAGTTGGTATCAAGTGGAGTGCCCAAGGGTTTGGTCCTGGGGCCAGTTTTGTTCAGTATCTTCATCGATGACTTGGAAGATGACATAGAGTGCATCCTCAGCAAGTCTGCAGATGACATCAAGGTGGGGGGAGTAGTAGATACACTGGAGGGTAGGGTCAGGATTCAGAGAGACCCTGACAAATTGGAGGATTGGACCACAAGAAATCTCAGGAGATTCAATAAGGACATGTACAAAGTCCTGCACTTGGGATGGAACAATCCCATGAATTGGTACAAGCTGGGACTGACTGGTTAGGCAGTCGTTCTTCACAAAATGACCTTAGGGTTACAGTGGACAACAAGCTGAATATGAGCCAACAGTATGCCTTTGTTGCCAAGAAGCCTAACAGCATACTGGGCTTCACTGGTAGGTGTGTTGCCAGTAGATCAAAGTGATTATTTCCCTTTATTTGGCACTGGTGAGGCCACATCTGGAGTACTGTGTTCAGTTTTGGGCCCCCCACTACAGAAAAGAGAAAAAGTCCAGCAAAGGGCAGTGAAAATGGTTCAGGGGCTGGGGCACATGACTTGTAAGGAGAGGCTGAGGGAACTGGGCTTATTTAATCTAGAGAAGAGAAGACTGAGAAGAGATTTAAAGCAGCCTTCAGCTACTTAAAGAGTGGTTTGAAAGAGCATGGAGCTAAACTGTTCTCAGTGGTGATAGATGACAGAACAAGGAGCAATGGTCTCAGGTTGCAGCAAGGGAAGTTTAAGTTAGATATTGGGGAGAACTTTATCACTATGAGAGTAGTAAATCACTAGAACAGGTTACCCAGAGAGGTTATGGACTCTCCATCCTTGGAGGTTTTTAAGACCTGGGTAGATAAAGGCTTGGCTGGGATGGTCTAGTTGGGGATGGTCCTGCTTTGAACCAGGGGGTTGGACTAGATGACCTCCTGAGGTCCCTTCCAACCCTAGTTTTCTTTGATTCTATGATTCTAACTGCTTCTTGGATAACCAACATGGATTGAATGTCTTAGTTCCCTCACTAAAGGTAGGCTTTCCAGGCCTTAAAGTAGTCTTATAATTCTTTTCTAAATCTTTTTAAGTTTTTCGGCAACATCTTTAAAGTGTGGACACTAGACCTAATCATGTTATTTCAACAAAATCCTCATTTATGCACTGTACAAAGAAAATCCCACCTCCCTGCTCCTACTGGATAATCCTCTATTTATTCATTCTTGTTAGCCCTCTTAGCCACATGATTGCATGAGAAACTGCGTACTCAGTTGGCTATCCTCCATGACCCATGTCTTATTCCAAAATATTACTTTTCCAGGGTACAGTCTCCTTTCTCTTTGCTTGATCTGCAGCCTGTGTTACTGAATACACAATCTTCCATTTATCTATATTAAAGTACACATCTTCATATGTTAATTGATTTGTTTAAGTAACCTTTGCTTGTTGTTTACCTGTTCGGCAATTTGTGTCATATTCAAATGTTACCATCAGTGATCTTACTCTTTTCCAGACTATTGATAAATATATTGGCACTCAGACTAAGAACAGTTCATTGCAGAATCTCACCAAAAATGTTCCCAGTGGATGAAGATTCCTCATTATTAATTTTTCTTTTCTTAGATCTATCAGTTCTGTTTTTAACAAATTTAATCTGTGCTACAATCATTTTGTGTATTGCTAATTTTTCATCATGTTATGAAATACTAAGTTAAATTCCTTGTAGAAATAATTAAGTCAGTCCATCAGTTCAGGCTAAATTTGTATATCCAAAAGTATAAAATGACATCACTACATAATAGGGAGCTGGACTTGGAGAGTGGTTGCACTCCACCCCAACATGAACCCCCTGCAGTTGTCAGCTTTCCATTATGGTTTTAAGGCTGCGATTCAGGCATCAAAAGAATAAAAAGTCCTGTGTGCCCTTTCAGCTAAGTTTTTTGAAGAAACATATCCTTCATCGCCACTTATCCCCTTTTCACTGGCAGTACATTGTTTATTAAAGATTATATACACAGTCTACAAACAGGAAGTTCTCCTTCCTGGAAAATATTGCATGAGTAGTACTGAAGGAGAGGTCATGAAAAATAAGATTTCATGCATCTTTAAGATTGCCAGCTGGAAGCATTCTTAACCGCCCCCCCTCCAACAAGAGAGAGACTAGAAGAGTTAGATGTTGTTGTGAATTGTATTTCATTTTATATAAATGAGGGAAATGTGTTTCTGTGTCTGTGCGTCAGTGATGGATTTGGTCTTGCAAATAGGTTAGTGACATGAAGGCTATAACCAAACCTCAAAGACTACAGTACTGAATGTCCAAAAGACAGAATTTGAATGTCAGGCATGAAAATAAACAGACTGCTTTAAATGCTGGTTTGCACCATAAAAAACATGTGAATGTGCTCCCGATAATACTTCAGATAAGGCCTTAAGTGGAACATGCTTCTCCAAATAAAGGCAGCTCCTTACTTGTGTGAACCTGTTTCCTAGAATGGCAGAAATGGAGCTTTGTAATTATTGCTGAGTGAGTATCCTTGCTTTCAGTCCCAGCCCAGACCAGCAAGTTCCTGTCAATAGTAACATTAGAAGTGTCAGTGAGGAGGGAGGTTGCAGCTCTTCCAATCACTTTAAGGAGATGCTACTGTATGAATATGCTGCAAAGTTTTAGAAGTATTTTTAGCTCGGCTAGTTTTATGCAGGTGTTTCAGGCTTTTAAGTTGCCTTTTTCTTTTCCTTTCCTCCTCAGACAAAGAGAGCCTTATCACGGACAGTGGGAAGCTTTATGCTCTTGATCTTCTGTTGACACGGCTGAAATCTCAAGGACACAGAGTTCTAATCTACTCTCAGATGACACGGATGATTGACTTACTGGAGGTAGGAGAAGCTTTGCCTGATAGGAAAGGACTTCTGAAGAAACAGATTTGACATCTATCACTTCTGTAATTTGGATCAGGCAAGCCTGACATAAAGTAATTGGATGGATAATTGCCTATATAAGACATTCCCATAAAAGAAAGCCAGTGGACATTAATGATGAGGAGATGAATGGGAGGTATAGATATATAATATAGATATATATAAACTAGCCAATTGCCCATCAAGAATGACTTGGGGGGTGGGGACGAGGGGGCTGAGATGGAGTGCCACCACCTAATGCCCCATGCTGCCGCAGCGCCTCTTGCAAGGAGTGGGGTGGGGAGCAAAGGCCGGCACTGGAGATGTTGTCACCAACATGTTTTGTTGGGGCAGATCTCTAGTTCTAGTGCAGAGCATATGGCAGTGACAGCTCTGGCTTCAGGTCTGGTATGTTGTGGCACCCAGGCCAGTAGCTGAGGAGCTGGGGCCTCAGCAGTGGCAATGGGTAAAGCAGCCAGAGGGTGACCAGGGCTGTGTCAGCTCTCGCTTGCCCCTCGCCTGCCACTGATCACCATGTCTACCTGAGCTCAAAGGTCCCAGATTGTATGGCAGGCTATTCCCTCTCCCCTTCCCCAAGTCATGGCCCTCAACTTCTGGTGGCCTATTGGTAACCCAGCAGGTCAGATGCAGCAGCTCCATAGGCTGGCCCATATATTTGACACCCCTGCCTTACAGGAAACAAGGTCTCTAGTCCCTTCTCTCTAAGGCCAGTAGGGCCTGGGATTCTTGCTGGAGCAGCATACATACACAAGAACCATGGAAAGAAGTGCCTTGTTATATAGTTCCTCTGTTTTGTGAATGATCAGCACTGATAACTTTTGTGTCAGTGCAGTTTTCCTCAAATAAAAAAATAATTGCCATAATACATGTTAGATGGGAAATGGCTTTTGGGGGTTTTGAAAACCATTGGAATGTGTGTGAGTGGGTAATTGGCAAAGAGGAACAATACATGCTTTTAAGAAACAGTGGAGTTTCACTGTGGCTGGAACACCAGGGTCTTGGGCCTCTATAGCCTAGTGATTAGAGCACTCCCTGGAACAAGGGAAGTCCTGGGTTTAGGACCAGCAGAATTATTTCTGTTTTTTTTTTATCCAATGATTGTCTTAATATAAAATGCTTGAACAGCATTGGGAACAAGCAGGGTAGCCTGCGCCTGTAGCTTACTAGCTAGGGCATGCCAGATGAGAGTTCTTGGTTCTTCCCAGAATTAAACAATATACATTATTTGTGCATTTTTCATTAGCTAGTCATTAGTAGAAAGTGGAAATTATCCTATAGAAACCAAATTCCAGGACTCCACTGCCTCCATGGGTGCTCGCATGTTTTAGCTACAGAGGCAGGTTCCTTTTTAGTCAGTTCTCCTTCTGGCTCCATGACTCTTGCATTCTTCTCTGCCCAGCTTCCACAGGAGGTCTGGAAATTGCCCTCTCTTAGGCTATTCTGTAGCCTAATGGCTAAGGCACTGTCTTGGAAAATGGGATATCTGGGCTCCTCGTGGTGTGTTGGAGGTTTCCCAGGTCCAAGGAAAATACTCTAACCACCCAGACAGCATGAATCACTTTTTCTCAGAAACTCAGTATACTGCCTCAGAAATGTGATTAGGTTTGTATCATAAGTAAACAGCAATGGTGAATGGACAGCTTGAGAAGAACAGGAGTTCAGAAGTAAACCTGGGCTTTAGAATTTCTCATTGGCCACCTCCTAAGTGTTTTATAAGCCATTCTTTAGAGCATGAAATGCTCTCTATCCTGTGTAAAGACATATATCCCTAAACCTAAATAGCTCATGCATCTCCAAGATCTTTCCACTGACTGGTGGAGATGCTAGACAACTAACTGGCTTATTTTGAATTTCCCTCTTGAGGCAGGCACTCAAAAGTTAGGCAGAGCAAGTTTAGGCACATACCATTACAATTTGAATTCTGTCTCATACTTTCAGACTTAAAAACATGAAAAGGTTGAATCAGTATCCAAGTATTTAGAAACCAATTGCTGCAATCTATTTGTAATAGAGTTTAAACACAGAAACATGGTTTTTGTGTATGGTGAGTTTTTCTTTCTGCTGCTCACAGATGACCATGCATTTCCAAATGAGAGGACAGTAGACTGTCTTTTTGAATCCTGGTCACTTTATCAACGTGAGATGTTTGGGCTATACCTTTTTTCTTGCAAATACTGGCTGCAGTTCAGTTTTGTGCCCAAACTTCAGGGGTTGTCTGCACTCCACAGACCAAAGAATGAGGTAGTTTAAAGCCCCTACTTTGTTATTAGCATTCTATCCTTTAAATATTTTGAGGCACCAATGACTATGTATTTTCCTGTTCAGTCCCTTTCCACCAAAGAACCAGTATTCCAGGGCCTTATTACCTAGATTGATCTGTCTGCCAAGAGCTCTTTATATTCCCTTTCCCCACCCCCCACAGTTCTGGTGGAAAAGCTCAAGGTGAGCAAGATGAAGGCCCAGAAGTCCTCTTTTTGTGAGATAACTTGTTTGGAGCTGCACAGGAAGGCAGCTAGGCTACTGTTGCTCGTAGCCCTTAAATTCTTATTCTACCAAAGGAAAAGAACGATTGTCTGGATGGCATGTTTGGGGCATTTTCCCCTTTCTGTACTAGTCAAAACATCATCAGTGACAGATCTAGGAAGGTGGGCCTGTCTTTCTGAATGCCAAGGGAAGAGCAACCCTGATGTTCACTACACAGAAATGGGATTTCTTACAGTGAAATCCCTGAATTTCTCACCATATTCAAGCTCTAGGGCAATGGTTCTCAACTTCTCTAGAATCGGAGCACCCCTTCAAAACTCTACCCTGGAGCCGAGGCATGCAGGCTGCAGATCACGGCTCTGCCCTGGCTGCGGACCACACTATCACCGCCACAAGATCCCAGCCTGGCTCCGGAGCAGCTCCCCACCGTGCCAGCAGGGACTATAGCCACCCCAAAATTCCCTGTAGTCATCCCTCCCAGCAGCACCACTGCCCTCCCTGCATACTGACTAGTGCAGTACATTCCCCTTCAGCCCCCTCACCAGGAAGAGGCTGGTGCTGCTGCTGCCTGCCAGTGCTACTCGGGTCAGTCTTCTTGGAAACCCTGGCCCTGCGATGTCACAGTGTGCCTGCTGCTGGGGTCTCCATGGAAATCAGCCCCAGCCACGCAGGCAGGGGCTGCTGGGAACTAGAGTCTGCTGCTGGCCAGATCCTGCCTGCAGTCTGGACTTTGCCTGCCTTTGCTGTATGGGAAACCCCACCTCATTGTGGCTACTGCTTGATCTCTGGCTGTGGTGACAGCTTCTGACTATAGTGCTGCTGAGGCTGCCTGGGTCCTAGCAAAAGCTGGGGCTCTGACTGCTCCTAGAAGCCCCACCACCCTGGCCAAAGCCCTGGCGCTGCCCATGGTGCTGCCTGCCAGCATCCCAGCTCTTACCAGGGCACTGTCTGTCTTTAGCTTGTTTAGTTCAGTAAAGTGAAGAGAAACTATGGACCCAAAGGCTTGGTGTCAGATTGCAGAGGCAGAGTGAATTTACCAAGTTAAAAACATTTTGCATACGGGAAACATCAAAACCAGTAAATTACATTAGAGTCACAGACTCACTAGATTCTTATGTTCTGTGAGCACATGTGTAGTAGCAGGAGGATGCAAACTGTATTCCTCACCTACCTCTTGCTGCCCAATATGTTTTGATTAAAGAAAAGGTAAGGCCTGGTTTTCTGAAGATTTAGAAGTTGTAAAACTTGTGTACTTCACTGGTCTCTATACTGCAGACAGGCAGAGCAGGAGGTGCAAACATATAATTTCACTGTGAATTATCACATGTCCTCTTTCCATTGCAGAGTTTTGCTGGTAGAAATCAGCTGAGAAGCTGCTTTCCTGTCCCCCACTCCCTCCAAGTTTTCAGGTTATATTTTAGAGAAAGAGCTGTTGTGTGTTTGGTACAGGAAAAAGAGTGGACAAATTAAATGGCATAAAAGCAAGTGATATATTGTGTTTGCTGGCTTTGATTGTCTGCAAGCATGATTTATAATGTAATACATTTTTGGGTTTTGCACTTCATAGAGGTATAGAAAAGGCAAGCATCCTTATTTGGAACAGTTTTGTAACAGTAATGTCTTTACTGCTTGATAGAGCAGAAGTTTAATCAACCAAGGGGAAATACTTTTGGTTAAAGGGGAAGATCCTTGGATGAAAGTCCAAAGATGATTAATAATAGTGATGGTTTATTGCTGCTTTTCTGGTTTATTGACTTTAGCAAAATAATATTGGAGCAAAGGTGGCATGTTCCCAAAAGTGAAAGTAAAATTTAAGTACCTGACATTCAAGAATTTTTCAAAGTGGGTAAAATCACAATAACCATAGTTCAGCACATCCTAAAAGATGGAAATTCCACAATTCAGTATGATTCCTTTCAGCTTAATTTTATTTACAAAATGTTTATTCTACATCAACAAAATCATAATAGGCTATCTCTACCTAATCAGAAACTAATGGCCTTACAAATCAATTTGGCATGTAACTAGAAAAATAGCAATTAGAGAAATGTAATAAAATATTAAAGATGAAGAAAAAAAATCTAACTCATCAGAGTTTATTACCCTCAAAAAGGGAGACCTGCTAAGAGACTCCATGAAGTCCCCTAGAGTCTTTGCTGTTGCTGTAGATTTTTATGTGGGAGGTGTTGATACAGCTGGAGATGAGTGGAAAAATAAAACCGGAGATGTCAGTTATACGAAATAGTGTCACTGATTTAATATTATAATAGATGTTGAAATAATGCTGAAATAAGAAGCTGTTCT